AACATTGCCCAAGGAACATGCACACATGTCCCCAAAACGCCTTCTCCCACCATCCCACTGGAGCTATTCTGGGAGACCCATATACTAGCACCCCTCAGAATAAAGGCAGACCAGCGTGTTTCATTTTCAGATGCGTATTTCCAAGCGCTCTGCAATTCTTTTCAAAGTACAACACTGCACGCCAAGCCTAGCCCCATCTAGCCCAGCCTTTTGCTTCTCTCAGCCGGATGCCTCAAGGAAGCCCAAATGCAGACTTGACAAGAGCCCTTGTAAGACCCCTTGCTCCTGATTGCGACCCCTTGCAGAGGAACCTTTGTCAGTGGCCAAGGATAACCCCTGCCTGCAGAAAACTCCGCAGCCCACACTCAAGTCACTGGCCATCACCACCCCTTGTGGCAGCAGATTCCATAAAGGAGGTATGGAACCTCAAGCTCACAGCCCTTTCTGGCCTGACCTGGGGTCCCCCAGCTTGTGATGTCCCCTTCTCCTTACCATTCAATGCTTTCCCAACCTTTCTATCCTCCCCCATCCCATTCTGAAATATCAAAATGCCTTTTTCACGGCTGCAACAGCAGGTGGTTGGACTTGATGGCCTTCGTGGCCCCTTCCAACTCTTTTATTCTATGATTTGTTGTAAGCCACCCCGAGGCTTCAGCGAATGGGGCGGCTTAACAATGTTTTAATAAATAATAAATAAATTCTAAGGCTCACTTAAACCTTGCTGTTTGGCCCCAACCTTCGTCCTGACCCACCACTGGAGTACAGCGCGAGAGTGCATCTCGGGAATTAAATTTGGCCCTCAGGCAGAAAGACAATTGCTACCTTTGTCATAAGTTATGCATTATGATGTTCTCCAGTGAGCATTTATGCGGCTGAGTTATAATGAGGTGTTATGATTTTTGTGAATGATCCTAAGCCTTATCCAATTTCAGTATGAGTATGTCAGATGACCCACAGGCAAAGACATATAGACCACATTTTTGCAGCCATTTTCATGTGAATAGCCTATAGCCAGCAACTAAATCGATATTTTTGCAGCTTCTGCATAAATTAATGACTTTCAGGATTTGCATTTTTCCTATCTTTGGCCTAAGATAGGTTTGAGTTGTGCAGCTTCTGGCAGGCATCCCTATTCCCACCCTACCAATAGGGCTTTCAAAAACAGAAATAAGCAACTACAAGGCACTTACTGGTATATGGGTTTCTTAATTATAAAATAAACCTGCACAACCCCAGAGGGGGGTGCTAGAGAATAACCACTTTAGTCATGATGGCTTTGTATTCCTGATCCATGAAACACCCCATTTTAAAGCTCAGGGATACTACTTTGTGCAAGGACTTGTTATTTTGGGCACCTGTTCCCTCCCCTTCCCCCAGATATGATCCCCAGTTCTACCTCCTCATCAGGAAGCCTTACTTAGCTTACAGTGCCTTAAAGTGGAGATGCAATTTGAACCTAGATCCTCTCTCCTAAACAAGTATGTTACCCAAGTGGGGGGGGGTGAAGAGGGGTGTGCCTCTTTTATACCTCACCCCCCAAAAAAAGTCTAATGATTCCAAGAACATAGTACTTTTATATAGACCTTTGCTCACATCCAGTGCCAGAAAAGAGGCAAGCATCTCGAAATTTCAGTCTTCAGGAAGCGGTTTTCCATGGAGCAGGACCAGTCAAAGGGCTACACATCCTAAGAATACTCTCCCCGCATTCCTTCGCTGTTGCCCTTAGGCAACACTGGCACTGCTTTCAGAGCATTTTGGATCGTACGCATTTCACCCCTCATCTCCTGATGTTGCTCGGCTGAATCCTGTGTTCAGCTGAGCAGTGCGGAGCTCCAGGGTGGAGGGATGAGTCACAGCCCTCTAGCCAGCCGTGCAGCCAGCTATGGTGCAACCTCGTAGGAGTCGGGGTGTGTCTCCTGCACTTCAGAGTATCCCAGGAACGGCTGTGTTACAGGCACACACGCACACTTCCTGTAGCCCTTCCTTACGGCAAGTCAGGCGTGAAAAACTGCTCTGCCTACGCTCCAAGGAGGGTGGCCTTAGTAGGGGCAGCTCTGAATATTTCTTGTGGCTTTTTCATAGCAAGAACAACGAAGTTGAACTACCATGCCAGCACAGAAGGTATTCAGGTCACACATGGCTCCCACCTTTTTAAGACTGCAAATTTTTTTGGTCACCGACCTGTGGTCTAGTGATTATTAGGGTTTCCTTTCAACACACCTGGTAGGGAGCTGCAGGTCTAGACAGACCTATGGGCATCCGGCCTCCATTAGCAGATGTTTCAAAGTGCTTTGTGCCAAGTTCCTCATCTTAATTAGGTGATGACAAATGGTAAAGCATTGGTGTTTTCAGCGGGTTAACACTCTCTTCCCATTCTATAAGGAAAGTAGGGTGTTTCTCTTCCAGAAATAGAGGGAGTGGGGCTGGTAAATTGTCATTATGAGCTCTGGTTTTTCTATTGTATAGATAGAAGTGTGTTGGAGTGAAATAATTACTAGCTTCTCTCGTGGGCCATTGGCTATGAAGTGGGACATAAATATAGGGTTACTTTGTCTCAGCCATTACCTGCCAGCCTCCACCTTCTGTGAACCATGCACCACACTTGAAGTATTCATGTGTGGCAATAGTGTTTTCTGTGACATGGCAGTGTGGTGAGACAGGTCCATAGAATATCCATCTGCATGTAGAAAGTTGTAGCCAAGTCTGGGCTCATAGACAAGTCAACACGGTTGTAGACAACTCTATGTTCATACTGTCTGTCGCAGGAAATACCAGTGCAACACTAAAGCACGCCCAGCAAAATGCCAAACGGGAGTTAGAGCTACTTGTACACATAATCAATCACCATTTGGGATCGTGTGTGGGATCCCATCAGGTTAGGGCCTGATGTACAGCAGCAGTGGGGAACCTCTGGCCTGCTGGCTGATTTCGAAGGTGCTCCATCTGACCTGCAGAGAATCTCCCTTCTACCTCTCCCACAAGCTCATCCCCTAACGTCCTTCCTGTCCACTTATCCTCCATGCCTCTCTCTTCATGGAGAAAGGTACTCAGGGGAATTCATCCAAGCACCAACTGTGTTCCTTCCATTTGAAGGGGATTCTCCACCGCAGCTGAGAGCAAAGTATGTCCTTGTCTTAGCTGGCACCTGCAGCCACCGTGGTGCACTTCTATCTGCGCACAGACAGGACAAGAAGCAGGACCATGGACTCTTGGCATTACCCAACTTGCTAGACTGGTCTCGGGAAGGAGGGGGAGTCTGGCTCCTTGACCTAAAATGTCTTCCTGCTTCTGCTGTAAAGCAATCCAAAGCAGAGAGAGCAATGCAAAGCCAATATTAGCCATGTTTCTATATAAAGCAGTGCTTATGGCTTACGACTAACATAAAATGGCCCCTGGCCCACTAGTCACAGTATTCCACCCTGTCTGGAACAGACATCACCACATGGTCTAACAAGAATGATATTTTTGGCCAACCCATTTTTGAAGGCATATATTTAGCTTTCAAAGTACAGAAAGATCACCCTATTTCCTACCCAAACACAGTGATGACATCAGTACAATAAAGGAAAATAGGAGCTTATTTTGAATTAACTCTGCAATTGTGTCAGAAGTTTCCAAGGCCACAGAAACTTTTCTGTTATATGCAACCTTATCATCCAAGCTAGCTGCTGTACAAGTCCTGCCTTGAAGTGAAGACACCTTGTAACTCTGAAAACAGGTCTTGCAAGAATGCATTTGCTAGCAAGGAGATAGTTTTTCCCAAATCTAAATACCATCCTGCCTTATAATGAAGATTGTGTGTCAATTATCTGCTCTACAGTACTAAAACAGCACTCTCCTCCACCAATTGCCAAGAAAAAGGAAACTGTGAAACTGTGTAGTTGTGCAATTTAAGCAGGAGTAGGCAAACTTCTTGTGCCATGGCCACATTTGGCAATTTCAGCAACAGTCCTCAGCCCCATACAAGATGGCGAAAAACAAATAAGCTTCTCAAAGGACTAAATACCCTAAATGTGGTTATACACCCCAGGAGACTAAACAACTCCTTTGAACCCACAGTTTTCAGCACTAATGAAAACCTATTTCACAGTGCTCCCAGATGCCAACAAAATGTTTTAGTTATTTATTTAATGGTAAGCAGGAATCAAGGTGTCTGTGGGTCTGTCCCTGAACTACAGGAAATAAGATATAGTTAAAGTAGTAACGTCAAAAAATTATTTGAAAAGGTCCTTATTGGGATTAATAACAGAAACCAAGTTTCAGAATTAGGAGTATAGTAGTTATGTGAATGTTCCAATACATTGGGTAGATGTATTGATTTTTTTCCCCTTCACTGGAGTAAATGGCTTGCCTGGATTAAAACAAGGGTAGGAAACTGCTAGCCCTAGTCTCCAACTTCTCCCTTCATTCCATCCAGCAGCAGTTAGATTCCCCTCACCCCAGGAAAAGCTCCTATTCAGAACTGGGCACCTTTTCTTCATGCTATGCCGTGGCATTGGGAGACGAGCATTTGGTGGAACGCTGCCCCACCCACCCCAGCTTCACCCATCCCTGGTAAGCAACCCCCCAACCTAAGTTTCCCACCTGACCTTGAAACATAATCAAAAACAACGTAATCAGAGGAAAATTACACACACTTCATGCATCTTTAAAAATAACATGAATACACAAGAGTAGTCTATGGTGTAGCAGCACTGTAAGCAAGCTATGGGTCTGTTCCTCAAAATAGGACAAGCATGTGCTTTCCCGCAAGAACTTCAATACCAAAACATTTCATCCGAGCCCCCGGCCTCACAATGTTTCACAAAAACCCTTCTTCATTCACTGATACATCAAATAAAATTGCCCTTCCTTCTTGGAGGGCAAACTAAAGCTACTCTTTTCTGCTTTGCCATTCTCACATTTCGTAAGTCAGTGCAAGTTTTCCTCCTATCCCTTCTCCTTCCATGAAGTAATACAAATGCTTTCCACTCAGTTTTACAAGGCAACCTTCCCCTTACCTTGGTAAGTAGCTAAGCAGAATACAGTCAGCAGCACCAACCCTTTCCATAAGCCTTCCATGTTCTTGGTGTTAATGAAACCTTTAGCAGCGAGGAGAGATGCTGCCTCCCGTATATGAGTGATTCCCAGTGCGGGCAGCAGGATGGAGAGAACACCCACGCTGGAAGTTTCACAAGTACCATGGACCACACCCAGCCACAGGTTCATGTAATTAAGGCACCTAATTTCTAAGCGCAAGAGCACTCCCAAATGAGGTGACTCCAGTTTCTACAGAAGTGCCTAATCCTTGCCAGATCACAAGAATGTAGCTTCTTTTAAGTTTCTTGCTTGCAGATGAGAATAAGAGATTTGAACTCAGTAAGGCTGCACACATCATCCAGGCTTGTAGCTGTGCCTTGCCGTAGGTCTCTGCCGTCTCTTTAAAATCCAGCTCTGTCTTGTTGAGAAAGAACTGGCTGAGAGGCCTTTAATTTCTGCCACAAACATCTTAACACAGACAGCCTCGCTTGCTTTTGACTAAAGACTGGAACCAGACACAAGCTCTTCAGGATCCATATGGCTGGGGCCAAGTGTCCCAAATCTAAGGGTTTGGAAAAGGATGCCATAGAGCATTCCCCCACAACTGCAAGCTAATGGAATTGCTTCTCTCATTTGGCCTGGGTGATAAAGGCTATAAAGGCAATGGAGGGGGGGTGGGCGTGGGACCAAGTGCTGATGGAGGCCTGACCATGGATGTGTATCTTGTCTCCATCCTACATGCACTTTAGCCTGAATAAACAAAGGTGGGCAACTTTTTATACTCTGCATACCCCACACAGGCAGCACAGTGGAACATTAAAAAAGAAAAATAAACACCCAGTAGAGTTTAAAGGATTTGACAAAGGAGTTGACATTTTGACTCTCTAGAGGAGTGGGCAACTTGTAGGCCAAGTTGCCTGAAGGCCACAACTTTCATCAGCCCAAGCCAACAAAAGCACCGGTGAAGACTCATGGGAGCTGTAACCCAGAACAACTGTCCACATGCCTCATGAGGATGCTAAGTCCTGTTCCAACAGTGGCCAAGCAGATGCCTGCATAATGTGCTAAGTTCTCTTACCTGTCCTGAACCTCCAACCGTCCATTTTCATTGGATGACTCGATTCTACCATTCCCTTATGGGCATTTTCAGTTCAGACATGGTTATCGGACTATACCTTTTGCAGAAAGACTAGTTTCAGCTTGATATACAGATCAATAGGTATAACTATCATTGGTAAAATCATGCAATCATTGATATAGCCAGGCCAAAGAAAAACCCTCTTTTCTAGAAATCAGCATGTGTGCATCCTTGAAATGTAGCTGGCACTAACCAGAGAAAGCTAGTTGGCACTTGACAGAAAACAGCCGAGTAAACAAAGGGCAACTCACATCAACCTACCTCTTCCTCCTCTCCTCCTTCCCAGCATCTTCTTTCTGCTTTGGTATGTGGGCAGGAAAATTCATGCCATTGCAGCTTTACTTCTGTAACCTATTAGAAAGTGTTACGTGTGTTATGTGTAACTTTTTAATGATCCATGTCTAAAAGGGCCAACAGAGGACTGCTCAGGTGCACCACCTGGAACTTAGTAGGTAGCCAGTTAAAAAGAAAATCTTCCTCTGTTGTGTATTTTGGACATATGCACACCAGGAAACAGACCATTTAGTCAACAAGCATCTGTCAGGATTCTTTTGCTCCCTTTTCAATTCAACTGTTCAGACACTTCTCCATTCAGTGGCCCCATTGTCTCCCTAGCTGGTTTCCTGCTTCAAGAACTTGGTCTTGATAGAGTTAGTAGTATGCTTAACATACTTTTTTGCATTCCTTATTATCTTGCAGGCATATATTTTGTGGAAGTTTGTGCTTTCTGCAATAATCTAGTCAAATTTGTATTATGGTGGTTTTGAGAACATCCCAAACAATATTCGATCCCTTTCTCTTTCAACCTTTTACCAAACCCCTCACTTATGAAACATAGAAACAGAGCAAATCAGAAGGGGTCTCCCGGGCCATCTAGTCTGACCCCCGACTCCAGCCGGCTCCGCTCACAAGAGAAGCTATGGTTGTTGAGTTGTGAACTGTAGGTTGTTCATCATAGTTCACTGTGTTGACTGGGTTCATGAGAAGTGACTTCTTTCAAAGCCAAATACAAGTTATGATCAAAGTCACCTACAAGTTTGGAAACTGCAATTGGATTTTTCCATTTAGTAACTCACTCTTGTTTCTTGAAGACTTCAGATTTAGTCAATTCAGACAGCACATTACATCACTAATATATCACACGCAAGGCTTGAGTATGGGTTATCACTGAATTGTGAGTGGTTACTGAAATCTGAGTTATCATGTTGTATGAACCCACCTGTGTTAAGCCAAGGCTGATTAACTGCAAACACCACAAGAGAAGCTACGGTTGTTGAGTTGTGAACTGTAGGTTGTTCATCATAGTTCACTGTGTTGACTGGGTTCAGACGGCATCACCCATGACATCAATGACAACCCGTACTCTACCATTGAACGTGGACTGTTATCTGAACCTAGTCAGTGTGAAACAGTACAACCCCCACCACCTGTGACACTAGTTGACCGTTTGTCTATCCTGTTCTACTTGCTACAACAAGTAGGACTGGAGGGATGGTAAAGGGAATACTGGAGCATCAGAACATGAGATCACACTACCTATTCTCTAAGCTACTGCAGGTGCCTCCAGATGGATTGTTCCTAGGACTATCAATCCAAATGCACCGTATGCAGCTATACTATCTTTTCCTTTGTCACTGATTTTCGGAGGCAAGAAAACTCTGGAAAAACTCAAGGGGGGTTACAAGTGGGAGACTGTGTCTGTAAAATGGAATGATGAAGCAAAATCACAGAATGAATGTCTGATATAGAAGGAACCTTAGGCGAGAGGCCCCAAGCAAGCCAGCTCTAAACAAATCCAAACATCACAATAGGTAAAGTATTACATTTTTGTTGGAAAGGAGACGCACATAGGTGGTACGGCCAACCATATGCAAGGCTGGGGGATGGGTCTGAGTATATGCACTGTTCAGAACCATAGAAGAATCAGATCTGAATCCAAGACAAGGTCTATATTTAAACCCTCAGCTTCTACAACACTTCGGTACAGGAGCTCCTAGCAATGTGCAGTGTACATTAGATTGTCTACCATGTTATTCCATAAGTGTTTTAATCAGACTATTCTAGAAACCTGCAGTAGGAACTTTATAATACACAAAGTACTTGTGAACTGTATTGCCACCTCACATTACATATTTTAAAGAAGGCACACAGCTAACAAATTTAGTTCCACCTTTATTGTTGAATTGCAGAAGCTTTAATTCACCAAAAAAATTTAAATAGAGTGATTTGTTAAAGCAATTGCTTGTTTTACCAGTTCATACCTAGATGATAGAAAATGTTATCACAAAAACACATACTGAATGCTAGCATACACACAAAGTTCCCAGTTTCAAGATTATGTCCAAAAAAATTCACATCCTATAAAGCAAGGAATCAAACTCTGCATATAGCTCAAACAGTTAGCCAAAACAAGGACTAGTGTCTAGAATGGTCTACTGCACTACAAAGTCCAGTAAAAGTCTGACAACTTCCAGAGGAAGAGAGATCGTTGCTAACAAGGCAAACCTTCACTCTATAACTGCAGAAGATTCAACAGATGTCACTGTTAACACCCACACAGCAGTTGCTTTGTATCCTATTCACTTCCAAATAGCAAGAACTAAAAGGTGAGTAGCAGGCAAAAAGCAGCTTCAAGGAATCAAGTCAATGCCTTTACATGCATCTAGGATGTATAAAATTAAGCTGCATGAAGATCCCTCCTACAGCTTACTTTCACGTTGAAAGCCACAAAAATGAGTTCCCTCCCTAACTCTACACCAATAGCTTTGTTAAAGCTCCTGTGTGTTTTCCATGCTGAGCTAGTTAGCCTCTCCATGGTTGTATTTGTTAATTGGTTTTATATATCCATACTTTGAACTACTTGTTTAGACAGCTATACATTCTGGTTAAAGGACTTCAAGCGTTCTGTGAATAGTTTGCACACCATGACCAAGTACTCTTCTATGCTTTGCCTGCAGAAAACTTAGAAGTGTAAAATATGTGCTACCCATGGACACAGTAAATGATACAGGACTTATAGACTTGGCAGATTGTGCCATCAGTGGCACTGCTTACAGTGACAAGGGCAAGAGCTAAATCACACACACACACACACCTGCCCTTAAGCAAAATTCATTATGCAAACTACTTCCACATAACTTCTTGCTTCTAAGCATTCCCACCTACCTGCAGAATTATCCAGGATAACGCCTACTCATGCAAATAGCTACAATCATGGGCAGAAGCATTGCAGAAGGATAGGTGGCAACATTAGGAAATGCCAGAGACTAACAATTCTGAAACCCAACTGAAAATGATTGAATTTTTATAGCCATACTAATATTGTTCTTTTCCTGCTTCTTTCTCTCAGATCTTTGCATAAGCTCTTCTTACCAAAAGGTGTGACAGGTCATTAGTTATACCCTTAGAAAAGGAAAATAGATGCACGCATCATAGTTTTCAGCCAAAACAAACCAGGTACATCACTCAATTTTCTAGTTTAATCATGGCAATTTACTATTTTGTTCTTTCACAAAGCAACAAAGGTCATTTAAAAAGAATGGGCTGCATAAATCTGAAACTCTTTTAGCATAGTTAGTATCTGCACAACAAGTCCTGAATGAAGACTCAGCATTTGCTACATGGGCCATCCATCACCTAGTTCAGCAAATTCCATGATGGCATAAGGACTTTTAGCCTTAATTATGGAAATTCCAATGGGCATATTCACCTTGTCCCTTGCATATGGAAGATGCAGTTGGACAAGATACTCCCTGTAGGTTTGTGCAACTTTGTCTTATGTTCTGAAGTATTACAGTTTTTAAAAAATCCTAATATTACAGGTGCTTAGTTAACAATTTAGAACTTCTTTCTTCTACCAATTAACTGTCCAGATGGCAGCATCATTTCAATAACTGTTTTAATTCAGTGCTCACAGACACAGATTAGGACAAATTAGTCACTACAAGAGTGCCTTTACAAATTAATCCAGACAGTCCTTAATTTATTTACATTTACTTATATCAGCACTCTGAGGCACTCGGACCAACTGACCACCACTGATGACTTATTGTGTATTCATATTACCATAAGAAACTAAAACTAGCATCAGAAATACAATTAAATCAACACTGTAGATCCTTCTAGATGCGTAGCACTGCTACCAAACAATTCTTCAAACAATTCTTCAAAGGAAAGTCAGGGTGGAAGGGGTGACAAGAGATCAGGGTACCAAGATTTAGCTCTTGCTAGCCTAACCCTTGCCTCTCGTTTTCTTCAATTATGGGAGGAAAAGAGATGGCCAACATGGGGTTTCTTCTAGTTCCACACATGATGTTTGCAGTGTTCAACAGCCTAGGAGAAAAGGACAAGAAATATGCAAGAAAAGGTCAGAGTGAATTCTGTTCCCACCAGAACTATGGACAGGATGACTAGAAGCTCTATTAGGTCCTGATATTACAAGGAAGACTATACTTGTCAGAAACTTTGGGTCATCTGTGTTCTATCTATAGAAATCTCATGTACTCACATTACACCGAGATGCAGTTTCCATGTTTTTACACCAATAGCCAGGTCCCTGGACGCACACTTCTGTACCCAAAAGAGGTGGTGTGGATGCCACACAAACTCCAAGTTTCTATGCAATGAAAAAAAGGGAATGATTGCAGCTACTACTTCATTGTGACAGAAAATCTAGATTAATCCCTCTAGCCATTATTGCTTCTAGAAGCTGACACAGATGCCAAAATGGGGTGGGAGTAAGTGCTGGTTGGTCAAGCTGGCTTCAAAATTTTGCCTGCTTTAAAACACATTACTGACCAAGTAAAGACAAACAATCCTCAATTTTAATTCAGGATTACTTACCTACATCTGCTTTAAACCCCCGAAACAAACCATGGGTTCCAATTGGGCTATTTCTCCCTCAACTACCCAGAGTTCTGGGGTCCCATGTTGTGGAAAACAACTAAAGACAAGGTGTTTAGCAACACATTAGTTGGCAGGCAGTTGGAAGCCAGGTTGCATGTCTGTTCCCACATGCTCCCAACCTTGATGGGTTAATTGTCCAGGACAATGAATCGTAATTTAAGGACACAAAACAGGATGAAACTCCATATATTCAGAAATATTAAAACAGCCACATGTTACTTTAAAATAAAATGTTATAGGCTCATGTTCTCACTTTTCAGGGCTGTCTATGTAACACTTCCAGCACTTAACTGCACAGCCAATTTTAATATAAAGGACTCTGCATTAAAGTGTATTCCATGAACAGTTTTCCCAGTCCTGGTACTTACAGTACACACAAAAGCGGGGTCCATCATTTCAGCCAAGAGCTCTATTACTACTGGCTCATATTTCTCCACAAACTGAACACACTGTTTAAAGGAGAGAAAAAGAACGTTTATGTGACAGGATTCTCTTCCAGTTGACCAGAGAACACGGAAAAGATAAACAGCATAGTACTAGGGCCATTTTTTTAGATTGTACAATATCCAACTAGGCATTTATACACCCTTTGATTCCCTTCTGTAAGATAAATTCTGCTGCACAAGTGGGGCCTATTACTTATGCGATTGGCATTTACCATTTGGTAGATGGAGCTCCAAAACAAGCAGTAACATTTGCTTCTGGATAGTGGCCTTTTGGCAGAGTTCTCATACAAGCTCTGCTGATTTCCTCTGGTCAGGCAACAAGTGTTTCAGGTTGCCCCCAGAAGCACTAAATCACCATGGTACAAATGGTGAAAGACCCTTGCACAACTAAGTTATTGGGGCAAAATCTGATTAGTGCGAAATGTAACCACTGAACTTACAACACTCACAGAAGTGAGAAGTCAGATTTATACAACTCTGCTATTACAAGCTGACAAGTATCATATACAATACTCATCTTGACCCATTGTAAGTCCCACAGAAACCTGCACTAAGCATATCTCTCTGTCAAGGTTTCTATAGCCACAGATCTGGGATGCAACTGGCAGATTTTCAGCTCACATTATCAAAATGAGCCACAATGAATTATTTAAACAGAGGCTTGCTTTCATTCCCAGCACAGTCTGGGCATTTCTTAATTACTTTCCTGGGCATGGCTTATTTCTTTTAGAGCCTGTATATTTTTAAAGGCTTGCATGTGTTCTGGCTATCTTTACTGGGATAGCAAAGGAATGCTATAATGGATTTTGCAACAGTACAGCTTCCTATCTGGACCCAGAACATTGCTTGGGCTTTCTTTCAATAAGGCCATCATCACTCAATTAGGACATAAGACATCAATCTGGAGAAAAGTTCTGCTACTCATTTCCCAGAATTCAAGAGTTGAAACAAGAATGGGACATGGTTTTATGCATGTGCCCGTTTCACATGTGTTCCGTTACATTCAAATGTACTTGAATATATAAGCTGCTAGCATATAAGGTAACGTGTGAAATGGATTTGTGAGAGACCAGGTGGATATGGAAAACTCTACAGAGTTAAAGATGTTCCATCCCCCATCATATCTGTGTTAATTCCAACAGCTCCCACCAAAGCATATTGTCCTACTCTGGGAAGCAGGCACATACCTATCAGTCTCCTTCATATGGAAATTATCCACTTGCAGTGTCTTTGGGTATAGAATCATGGAACAATAGAGTCAGAAGGGGCCAAGGAGGTAATCAGGCTCAATCCCCTGCTGATGCGGGAAACCAGTTATACCATCCCACTCAGATAACTATCTCCTCGAATATCTCTAGTGTGGAAGAGTACACGACTTCTCTTGGCAATTGGTTCCACTATCATACTGGTCTGATGGTTAGGAAGTTCTTCTTTTGTGTCTAACCTGTCATTTAAGTTCATTGTTCCATATCCTACACTATGTCGGGACACCATCTTCTTTTCCTATGAAGTCTTGGGTGGTCAGTGGTCTCACTGCCACATTAGCACCTCACTCCAATTAAAGATTACCCTACTGAGGACTTGGCAGGGTTAAATGGTCAGCTCCCGCTCACCAGGGAATAAATACAGAAGGCAGAGTAGAAGTAATTATGAAGCAGCACAATGCTGGAGTTCCCAGCAGGAGTTTGTGCTCTGACTCTTCCTCATGAGCTGAAGCTGCCCATACACAAGCAGGCTTTATAGTGCATCAGCCAGAAGATTAATCAAAAGCCAAGGCTTGTCTCGCACATACAATATCCAAACATTAAATACACAGTATTGGATTCTTCACAGTTTAATTTAACCCTGTTGTTTTACCTGATCACTAACAGATTCTGGCAAGAAGCGACAGACTTTTTCCATAAAAGCCTCGATCTCAGCAGTGGTAGCGTTCTTTGCCAACTCCTTGTCTGCATAAGCAACAATCATCTTGCATACATCACAAAAATCCCCAACCTCTGTCTTTGCTGGAACAATTTTTTCTGAGAATACACAAAGTCAGATGTTCTGTTCAGAATGACTTCCCACAGCAGTAAAGCAATCCAAAGTGCAATGCTGCAAAAGCAAGCGGAACATGAGCAAGGGAGCATGCAGAAGGGTGCTTGCGCTGGTGTATTCACATTCTTACCAGCAGGTAAGGCATTGTCTGTGCAGCACTTCAGAAGCACACACACAAGTTTTGGATTAGTTGCTTCCAACAACATGTCAATGATAGACTTTCCGTAGACTTCCACAAAGTCCCTGCACTCTTCCCGGAATTTTTCAGGTAGCACAGAACAGATTTTCTCCATTTCATGTACAATCTCCTCCTAGTGCATGCAAAATAAGGGGTTACTGTTGTTAGAATTAAATGACAGTCTATCATATTTCCCTCATAATTAAGCATCAAGACAATAAAATAGAGCATTTTTAAAAATCTAAATTTACAAAATCAATACAATTTACACAGCAAAAGCCCAATTTTTGTTTAAAACATTGTTTGGTTTAAAAGCTCTGGATAAACAAGGTCACTTAAGAGTTTAAAAGACCATAAATGTAGAAGAACACATTGCAATGTCTAAAGATGGGATACACTTTCTTGTCAAAATTACAGGCCCTTGTGGGAAGGTACTGTGTTCCTGCCTAGTTAGGAGAGCTAGCAAAGGTCAAGATAGCCGGCACGTGAGTTTGAGTTTTGGGCAAGTCAATAGGTCTTTCTAGAAAGATGAGCAATCTCCCTCACTTTCCAAATTACCCTTCCCCACTCTATCCATATTGGCGAAAAACCATTTCATGTGGAATACACAAGACTAGCAGTAAAAATATACAGTATTATGACATGAAATATTAACTTTGAGGGGTTAGAAAATTTTCTAAGATGTCATACGAGTGTAATATGAAATGATGCCACAAACCCTGGGGAAGTTATTTCTGTATTAATGCTGTTTTAAACACAGAGGAAACACTAATTCCCTAATCAGGAAACTGTATTTAGTATGAAAGGTAATTCTAGTGTCCCTACTTAATAAATGGTTCAACAAAATTTAAGACATACCTCTGACTTGTTACTTTCCAGAAGACTGGCCACCTCTTCCACCATAATCGTACAGGCATCACAAAGGGAGAAAGATTCTACTTGACTCAGACTATTCTGTGCATTAGAGTAAATATTGATAGTTGTCAGTAAGAAGTCAAGGAGAGAATGAGCTATAAAACCAAGAAAAAAGTGTGGTTCCAATCTACTTCTGCATAGACTTTACAGAATGGACCACTCATTAAAAACGGTATTTGTTTATATCTTAATATTTAGCTATACTACTCATTTCTCAAAATCACTTGGTCTGTATTACTTCCATACTTCATCAGGAACATGAATTCGTGGCTCTAAAAACCACAGATAACCTCTGTATTTGAAAATCAACATTATAAGTAGCATTCAACAGGTTGTGTTATTGTAGCAAGCTATGAATGTTAGCAGTTTTGTTTTGTTTTTTAAAGCACACAGACATTTACTTTCCTCCTTACAGAGAAGCACTGCTTTGCTCAAATTGCCGGCACTTGGTTCTGAAATTCCTGGCCAATGTCCTTGTAGTTGGAAACAAACATCAACAGAAACTCACATTTTTTCCTTTCCCTTTTGCACAGCAAAATTTTAAGTGCAGAGCGACAAATGATCCTAGGTATATAACAAAGGCTCTGTTTACATAGATCTGGGCCACAGGCTGCAGCTCACGCATACATGAGCAATGGGGGAAAGGTGAACAGAGCTACTCAAGTTTGCTATACATCAGCAACTACTTGTGTCGGTAGGGAGATGAGGGAGAAAGGCCAATTCTTAGCCATTTAAACAGCTCATGTAACATCAGGGGTTGAACTGCTCTATAAGCAATTGGAATTTAAAAGCAGTCCATTAAGTTCACTGTGTGGTTTAATCACTAGCTCCCAAAATCGTAAGAAATTTATTTAACTTCTAGACTGCCCAACAGCAGAAGCTCTCTGGGCAATTTACAACACCAAAGTTGCTTTGTACCATGTCAGACCTCTTATTCAACTAGCCAATATTTACTCAGACTGAGAGCAGTTTTCCAGGGTCTAAGGCAGAGAGGCCTTTCACATACAAATGGACAAATCTATTCAGGCTGTCGCTGATAGAGTGATACATTAAGGAAGAGAATCAGAATTTAGCTGCTGAAACACCAAACTCTGTAATGCCATACCATGCCAAAAGTAAACCCCTCTAACAAAAAAAGAGAGGAGGGGATTCATAGCTTAGACCTCATGCTCTCAATTTGGCCATTACAACACTCCCATTATTCAAATGAATGGATATGGATAGCGTTCTTTTTTTTTTTTTTTTTAAAGAAACTGCCTACAGGATGCAATTTCTCTTCCTTCTTCCCATCCCATTATGGATCAGCTTGACATGTCAAGGACTGCATTGAAAGTCAGACATATTGGGTATGTAAAAAGCTAAAGCATTCTTTCAAATACTACACCAAGTATAAACTATTTTGCCAGGAACTTACTGGGACATTTGGATGGCACTGATCCTAAACAGAAGCTTAACATATACTATTTATACCCTTACACTATTTTACTCTTGCCCCAAAAACAGTATCACGCAGACTCTTTCCACAGAGTCATGTCTGCTCCCCATTCCCAAAGTAGACTGTCTGAAGGCAAAAGCTTTACCTCAATTGATTCCTCCTTTACTTGAGAAATAACTTTAGCAGGCACCAGAGTTTGAAGAGGCACAGATTTCAGGGATGAACAAAATCCGATCAGGTTACAAATATCCGCTGGTTGCTGCAGATATACAGAACAGTTACATGAGTTATTTCTTGCAATTTGCAGATAGAAAGACATTGATCTTCAACTACTACATTGAGTTAGTTCATTAGCAAGCAGGTGCTTCAGTTGATGCTACTTGTACATTGTTTGAATCGACCCACTAAGTCCATGGCTTTGGGCAATTCAACTCTATAGTACAACAAACTGCATAGAAATTGATCAGAACAAGTTTCAGCAGCTTGTTTACACTCTAAAAGCATTTTCACCACAAAACTACTTTTAACACTAAGCCACAAAGAAACAGATGGAGTTGATATCAAAGGCACTTCCTTCTTGCACTTGATATACATAACAGTACATTAAAGCAGAATTCAAGAAATGCTCCAGTCGGCTATCTAGATTTCTATAAAACCCATCTAAAGTTGTTTTATTGGATAGTATATTCACAACCCATTACATCTGATATGAAAGAGAATTTGGCACTAAATAAATATAAAAGCAATTATGTTTTTTCCCTGTCCTTATTTCAGTTCATATAAAATAGTTTAATAGCTGTTCTCAATTCACTACTCTAAGAAAAGAACATTATCTACACAGATATCTGTCACAGACTTGCGGTTTAATAATTTGGCAATCTTTCTGAAACTGAGAAGAAAATGTTTTATATTCTAAAGAGGTTCTATCTTTTCTCTCAACAATGTATTATAGCATAGATAGCATTATTTCAACCTATTATATGCAGAGCTTACATTATGCTGAACTGCCATAACTGCTGATTTTTCTCTTGTAGAAAAAGTATATTCCATTGAGGTTTTGTTTTTATACTAGAAAATAAAGGTATTACCACAAGATGTCCCCACTTCTTTGCAGTTAACTTATCATTCCAAGTAGCTTAAACAAATCCCTTCCTCTCCACACAGTAGCAAGCCACTCTGAAATTTAAGCTTACATTGATTATATTCCTTAGTTAATAGCAGCTACTTTTAAAGTCTTGCAAAGGTGAGAATATAAGTAGCTTGCCATTTGAAAACAACTGGGGATAAAGAACCCAGTTATTTGAATATCTAGAAATTGAGTTCACTAATATCTATTAGTTCTTTTCTCTCCTCTCAATTACTATAGCAGATTAGTAAATCTATCAGCCAGGTCATCCTTACATAAATTCTGTTTTTCTCTCAATTGTTACATAAAATATGTATAGTAAGCTTTCCATTTATCATTAAATATTTTGGATGATCTTCTATTTATATATCTAGTTAATTCTGCCATTACTGTGTGTTCCTCTAATTTAATTTAATTTAATTCAATTCTCTAGTGAAGACTAGGAAGCATACAGAAAGGTTTCCTCTCCAAAGTTTTGCCAACATTCTCAAATACATATTTTTTGTTCTCCCTGAAAACAAACTGAACACCTTTAAGGAATGAGTGAGCTGACTCTGACATCATGGTTTATCATCCTTATGAAAAGGAGCTGCAGTAAGCTTTGGACTCATAATATCCACTCCTTTCTTCTCTCCAGAACAACCACAAGAAGGTTAGAAGCATTAACTTCTGATTAACCATAGCTAACTTCAGGTGCAAATCTTAAACTATGAGTAACAACAACAGTTTGTTTGAACAAACCAACTCTACAATTTATGATTAAAGTAAGATAGTTAAGCTTAAGCACAGATTTGTTGACTTGTAGTAAAATGACAAGTGGCATTCAACTGCAATGGCACAAAGCTTCTTGTAGCCATAAAAGAAGAGAAGGGTGGAGCCTGAGAGGCCAAGACTCGCTGAAGCTTGTTCCCATTGTAGCATGAAAAAAAATAGGAAACTCCAAAACAGGAAAGACTGAAAACTAAAAGAGTAAACAAGAAAAGGTGTTTATAGCAGTCTTAATTTATTCCAGACTTTAATGGTGCATTTTCAGGAAAATTCAGAAAGAAGACTTCAAATATAGATACACTGGTGAAGACTTAGCATATCTGAATTTCACATTGACTTTCTGAAATTCCCTGATGAGGGGCCATTAAAACTACAATAAGTACTTTCTAATTTACCCCTTTGTTTTCTCATCACTGTAAGCTATAGCTTCTTTAGAACTGACTATCAAGTAGCATTGTACCAATCATTTGCTACACATGCATTTATAAATGCAGGTTTTTAAACCATCAACAAGCAAACGAAATTTCATTTGAAACCCAACCTGAATCCCCCTCCCACCCCCCGCGAAAAAAAAAAAGAATGTATAAAATGTTCCATAATACCATTTGGCTTTTTCCATTATGGTTGTGTATGAAAATACCAAAACAGTTAAGCCTAGAAAGGGCACAACCCATGAAATATAATTTGTTTGAACACATATTAATCCTTAGTTTTTCCATGCAGAGTAATCAATATTTTTGAAGCTTCAAAATGAATCATCTTTAAAGTTTTCCATTAGAAATAAAATGATTTTGAACCGAAAAGGCTGAATATTAACACAGAGCAGCATGAATTGGGAACACACATGTATAACTTTTGAATGCTAGTGCTGTTTATCTTTGGGGTCATTTTTCAACCCTATACAAAGAACTCTCTCTGGTGAAGCAAATACCTCATCCAAAAGGCCATTATTTGACTGATTCCCCCCCTCCCACACACCTATCTGCTTACAGTCAGCATAACAGTCAGTTTCAGCTTCTCAGTTTCTGGGTGAGGGATGGGTTTGCTTCTCTATCTGGCTCTCAATCAAAACAGACTAAGATGACCTGTAGCAACCTCAAAAGGGGGCATTTTGTGCCCCAAGATATTTACATTGTTGGGACTGCAAACAAAACAAAACAAAACAAAAAACAACAACAGTCACTGCAATGCAGAATTTGGAACATTTTATATCCCTTTTTTGGCTTATAGAAACAAAACTAAAAAGCAGGTGGCTGAAATCTGGTGGCAATCTTTATTGCCATACAGATAACAATGTGAGTGCATTTAGTCATAATTTATACAACTAAATGTGATCCTGGGAAGTGGCAGGGCCCCATGCTTAATGAAGATACTTCAATTTTGCGCACAAGATACAACTTTTTCCGAATGAGCCTTCTTACTACAGCATCACAGAAAGTAACCTAGTATGAATGTTTCCAGTCAATCTTTGGAGGAGGACAGAATTCATCCATTCCTCCCTCCCCTATCTCTAAACAGAAAAATAGATGTTTTCTTCCTGTTACAACCTGTGGTCAGAACAAAGTAGGCATTTTTCCTTTGTGACAAGTGATCAAGTTTCATGTAAGCCATACTGTTTTAGTCAGCTTTCCATAATATTCTCATGCAGCACAGACATGCCAGAAAAAGGAGTTTAGCGCAATTCCTGGTTAGATCCAGAGAAGCCTTTCTTCTCCCCACTTCACCCCACGCTTCATGTTTTTTTCATTAAAGTACCACTTTTAGCATACCAAACATAATACTAGAGCTAGCATTATATACATGCAACATGCATTGCCAACTAAACCATGACAGGCACAAGGTCTTTAAAAACTTATGTTTAAAAAAAAATCAAGCCACCCAAGCCATATTCTAGGCAAGCAAAACAAACCCAAACCCAAACCCAAAACAGAACCAAACCAAACCAAATAAAGCAAAACCAAACCTGCTTGCTACCCTGGGAGGTAAAGCGCACAGCCCTTTCGTGTGAATTTTAGTTAACTGAGCTTCAAAGTCAACAGAAGGGCAAAGAGGCTCACAGTTTTGATTCAAAACAATTAAGATGAAATTTCAAATTGGCATTTTGAAGTAACTATTTCCAAAGACATAGTTTGTTCCTTGAATCTGTCAAAGCTGAACTTGGTCAAGTTATATCTACTAAGTTAGCAAGAAATTATACTATAGCCTCTCAGGCAGGAGACAGGAAAAAAAGCAAGGCAGCACACAAGCAAGCTTCTCACATACCTGCTCCTGCTGTTGACAGAATGGAGAAAAAGACAGACAAGATAGTTAACAATAGGGGAAATGATAAAGCAACTGAATGGTGCATTGGAGATTTCACAGGCAGGAAATCTTGCAAGGGGCAAAAAGTTATTTTTTGTTGCTAAACTTAAATGAAACATTTATTCATCCTTGATAGACTTGGACCACTGAAAGCAGTATGAAAAATACAGGCATAAATAAAGACAATGCTGTTCACTTTGATAAAGTACCACATGTCCTTATTGCTATAGTCCCAGACAGAGCTTTATTTTTTATTTCAACTTCTACTTATACATAAATAACTCATGACAGTTGGGCCTGAAGACCCAACTATAGTCTAAAGAAACAAATCTTTAAAGTAAGTCTTCTGTTACAAGGAGTTTAGATTTAGTCTTTTAAGTAAAAGACTTTCAATTCAAGAGAACATGATATTTTTCAACCTTCTGTTATGCTGATTTAGGACATTTACTGTATTACATCTAATGGCAAAATAGTAAAGGGACTTCTACAGTACAGGAAATATGTTACTGAATAATAAGCAATATTCATCTTACCATATGCATCATCATCTGGATAGCCAGATCTGAATACTGGGAAATATACGACTTGCACTATTGGAGAAAATAGAAACAGTATTTAGCTGTTGCAGTATTTACAAGCCTAAGTATATCACATTCCAACCAGATATATCATGTAAACCATTTTATTCTTTCCACCAAAAATATTCTGGTCTCTTTTACAATTTACATTTTGGATCTATACCCCTAATTACATTTTTACCCAACTCTTCTTCCAAGGAGCTCCAGGTGGCATACAGAGTTCTATCAGGGTTGTTGTGAGGCTGACTAAAGCTGACTGATGGCAACTGCTCAAAGATCACCCAGTGACATTTGTGACTTGGTAGGGATTTGAACATGGTCTCCCTGCTTCTACACTGACCATATAAGCCATCGCACCTGCCGAACGAATTACAACTTAAGTAGCATCATCTTAGTCACTGTGAGAAGACACATTTCACTCCAATTAGTACTGCAGAATGACAGAGCTGCCACAGAGACAAATCAGTGATTAAGCAGCATGAAAGCCAGCTACTTGCTTCTTACACACTAAGTTCTTTCTTCTGTAAAGGGGAGCATGTGTCTCTCAGACACAAATATCCTTGAAAGAGATGCTTCTTTCAAGAAAGTGAGTTTTACTTTATAGATCTTGCTTTACATCATCAGGCCTCGCTGTTAACCTTATTAGATTTTGTTCTCTGGATCAGGCATTCAACCTTGGTCAGTTCTGGAATCTTCTCATCAGGATCCTCTCTAATGGGTGGCATTATAATTCTATATTTTCATGCTAAATTGAATCCAAAGATTTAAAGATTGGTAAGATTTATCATTTTTAGCTTTTGAACAAGCAATGTATGCATGCCACCTGTATATGGAAACTTATTTGGATATTCAGTCTGTTTTTGTCAGTTTATGCCTAATTCTCAGAAAGCAAAATTTTCTATGCACACAAACATCATATGCATGCATGAGATGAATATATTCATATTTAGGCAGTTAACTAATTTTTGTTGCAGTTTCAGAATATATATATATAATGTTCTACTGACAAAATAATGATGATCAAATCCACTCAGTTACCATATCAGCAAAGACAGGTCCCAGAAGTTCACACTGTTTTATGGCATGGTCAATCAGAGAGCTCACAAATGTCGCATTATTCCTTACTGCTTCCTGAATATCAGTTACTAGCTGAATACAGTCTGTACAGACATTCCCACCATCCTGCAAGCAAACAAAAGGGTATTTAGTGTATCTTGATATGGAAACATCTTAGTGCCTGCCTCTACCCAAATACATATGCGTACATTCCAAAATGCCTTTATATAATTAATTCCAACAGAGATGATGGAAGACATCTTTCCTCAAAATATTCTCGAATCATCTCTGGTGAGGTCTTTGATGGAATCTATTCATAGCAAGCAGCTTACACACACCAAGTGAAATTCTGATACATATAATTTTTTCTTTTATACTATTGCATTAACCTCAACCTTGAAAAGGTTACACTACTGTTGTTCCAAAATACAGTAATAAATTCTGCTCATGCAGAGTTGAGTGCTATGTATGTAATAATCCCAGAAAGTAAATTCACATTGACAGCAAGACTTGTAATGCTTAGGAGAAAGCCTTATTACACAGCTACTTTGAAAGGCAGGTAGCTTACCTAGGCACACAAAGATATATATGTTTGATCTTAATTTACCTCACAAAATATTGTTTCACTACATTTTAATCTCATAGTCACACTCCAATCCAGTGTTCACTTCATTATGGTTCCAATATTGCCTCTTTCCTCAATAATTTCAGTTGCACTGAATTCTCTTTATGCTTTGTCACCCTTATTACGGCCAAAGTAGCTTGCTTTATTAATTTCTAGACTAGAAGACCCATGTAGCTTCTGCACCAATTTCAATTTCATGATGTAACAGAACATGTAATTATTGAAGACTTAGCCAACAGCATACCAATTTTTCTCGTACGTTAAAGCAGAACTAAAAACAAAACAGAAGACTAGAATACTGCATGATTTATATTGTATTTACAGCGGAATCCACTGACCACTTGATATCCTTAACCCCATGGAAGAAACTACACTGCAGTTCACACATTCTGAAAGAAGATGCCTGATCTTACATATCCAGGGTGGGCAACCTGATGCCCCCACATGTTTTTGACTACCATTTCCATAATCCCTGATCACTAGTCATGCTGGCTGGCATTGGAAGTTAAAAAAGACAACCAATCTAAATCATGTGTCAGGCACCAAGTTGCCTAGCCCCAAAATATGCCCTTATTGGTCGCCCTGTACGATGACCTGTGCAGGGAGAAGGACAGGGGGAGTGCATCCCTGTTGGTTCTCCTGGACCTCTCAGCGGCTTTCGATACCATCGACCATGGTATCCTTCTGGATAGGCTTGCGGGATTGGGGGTCGGAGGCACTGCTTTGCAGTGGTTCTGCTCCTATCTCAATGGCCGGTCTCAGAAGGTGGTGCTGGGGGACTATGGCTCTGCACCATGGCAGTTATGCCATGGAGTACCGCAGGGGTCCATTTTGTCCCCTTTGCTGTTCAACATCTACATGAAACCTCTGGGAAAGGTCATCAGGAGGTGTGGGCTGCGGAACCATCAGTACGCTGATGATACCCAGCTCTACCTCTCGTTTTCCACCAATCCAGGTGAGGCAGTGGCTGTACTGAACCGGTGCTTGGCCGAGGTAATGGGCTGGATGAGGGCCAATAAACTGAAGCTCAATCCAGACAAGACGGAGGTCCTGTTGGTTGGCGGATCGGGCTTCGGGGAGGGTGAATTGAACCTAGTCCTGAATGGGGTTACACTCCCTCTTAGGGACAAGGTTCGCAGCTTGGGAGTGCTCCTCGACCCAGAGCTTTCACTGGAAGCTCAGGTGACAGCGGTAGCAAGGAGCGCTTTCTTTCAGCTTCGGCTGATCCATCAGCTGCACTCCTACCTGGAGTACGACTGCCTCACAACAGCGACACATGCGCTGGTGACTTCCCGTCTTGACTTCTGTAACGCGCTCTACGTGAGGCTACCCTTGAAGACGGTCCGGATACTTCAATTGGTTCAAAACAGAGCTACCAGGCTGCTGACGGGGACTGGGCGTTATGTTCACATGACTCCAGTTCTCCGTCAGCTTCACTGGCTTCCCATTGAAGTCCGGGCCCAATTCAAGGTGTTGGTGATGACCTATAAAGCCCTAAACGGCTTGGGTCCTGGTTACCTGAAGGAGCGCTTACATCCATATATGCCCAGCCACCCCCTGAGATCGGCGGGAGAGGCCCTTCTCCGGGAACCCTCCGTGAAAGAAATTAGGAGGGTGGTTACTCGGAGGAGGGCTTTCTCTGCGGTGGCGCCTAAGTTATGGAATGTGCTCCCCAGAGAGGTCCGGCTGGCGCCGTCGTTATTTGTTTTTCGGCGCCAGGCGAAGACCTTTTTATTTAAGCGGCATTTTAAATGTTAATATTATTGAATTTTATCTGGCCAGAGCGGCTTATTTTATATTGTAGGTTTGTATTTTATTCTAATGTTTACATTTTTAATTTATGATTATAATTATTTAATTTATTGTTGTAAGCCGCCCTGAGGCTTCAGCGAATGGGGCGGCATAAAAATGTTTTAATAAATAAATAAATAAATAAATAAATAAAACCCTACTGTACCTTGACATTCTTTGGCTCACACATTTTTTGTTTTGTTTTGTTTTGTTTTTGTTTTAGAAGCTAAGTAGCTATTATCCTAGAGTCTCAGAAATACCTCAGCATCCTGGACCCTCATTCCCCAAAATAATCTACCTGGCTTTGATAGTATATATTTATCCAATTAAATACATTTTTTCATCTTTTATTACCCATATCAGTTGTGGATTTTTTACTTAATATACAAGTAGGAGTCTTCCACTACTCTGGAATGGTAAAGAAATCCCATCAAAGAGAGGGAAAGGTTGAAGACATCAGTAAGCAAGGTTGGGAATGCTAGCTACTCAGAAACAAGTGAAGGATAATGAAGAATATTGAAGCATCAGTTCCTAGTGCTCTACTATTCTCCTGCCGGGAAATGATGATGGAAGACTTGAACAGAAGTAACAAAGCACTAGACACTCTGGCAAGCCAGAGCAGGGGATGCAAATGGATAGGTTGCACAGGTGAGTGAAAGGACACAGTGCATTGTCAACAGCAAGAAAGAGCACCTGGAGGAAAAGGGGAGGAGGAGAGAAGAGTAGCATCACAGGAGGAGGGCAGCCATGGGTGAATGAAAAGCTGGCAGGCTGTTGCTAGAAATGTGGTGGGAGAAGGTTAACAGTACAGCAGGAAAAGGGCATGCGGATGAGCAAGGGGAAGTTTTCATCAGACCAGTACCAGCATTCCTGAGAGCAACCAAGATTAATACATGTCCAAACATGAGCAGATCAATGATAAACAGGCTGCTTATCTACTAAGCCTTGCCGGCAGCTGCCTTCATGGCATGGAAAGGCAGACTCCAGGGTTACATGCTGGGAGTGGAAGAAAAGGGAGGAAAGGAATAACTGAGTGCAGCATGGCTTGTTATCTAGCAGACCACCAGTGGCTTAACTATGGGAAAAAACACTCTGCTGCAAGTTAACTACATAATGGGCATCATACCATGCAAACTGGTCTTCTGTTGCTTCTGACTGGGTAAGGCAATTAACTAACAACCAGTTTCAGCAGTTTACATATAAAGTAAAAAAATCTTGCTATTCTTCTGTATTTAACCAATGTTTTCAGCAGTGTTTTGACAAAATGAGCTTATTTTTATATAACTGAACCAACTCTCAAGTATAGACAGTTCTACAGGAAAACAAAACACCTTCATGTACAAGGTAGTTAAGATACTACGTTCTCACCTGTGATTTTTGCTGGGGTTTGTCCTGGGGGTAAAGGAGAAGTGGCACATTAGCTATGAAGGGAGATGCCACTTCAGAGAAGTCTAATTCAGGAATCTTGTTTGACTGAAGTTGTTTCTGCAATTTTATTTCTGCCAGATGCTTCTGAAGAGACTGGCAGAGTGTGAGTGCACTGCATACGACTTCAGGGTTGTCCTAAATGTCAAGAGAGAAGAACAGACATTTTTCTCCACCAACTTTATACATATCAGGTTCTGCTCTGGCTCTTAGGGTACTTTGCTGGTTCTTGCTAAGTTTTTTTAATGAAAAGATCTGAATTCTGAACTTGATAGCTGCACAACCTTAACCTGTTCTTCGCAGGTAAACTGCAGTCACTCCATTCTCTTAGTTCTTGCTATAACAGATTTTTTTGTTCCTTCTGGAAAAAATGTCAAGCTAACTAAACAAGCTGTGCAAACCAACTTAGCTTGTCAAATTCATTTTAGTTGAAAAATCTGTTTTTTCTTAATGCAGTGGTACCTTGGCTCACGAACTTAATCCATTCCAAGACTCTGGTCATGACCCAAATTGGTCGTGAGCCAAGTCAAATTTCCCCCATAAGGTTCAATGTAAATAAGGTTAATCCATTCTGTAATGATTTTTTTAAATCACAAAAATTTGAAGCAGGCGTGCTCGGGGGGACACGGGCACAATTGCCACCCAATGCGGAGTTCATGACCCGAGGCAAAATTTTTCAGAAATTTCTGTTCACGACTCCCCAATTTGGTCATGAACTGAGGTGCATTCGTGAGCCAAGGTACCACTGTATAGACTTGCTTCAATTTGATTAGTCTACTTACAAGCTCCTCCTTGATCATATCCAGAATGTCTGGCAAGTAAGCATCCACCATCTGTTTGCATTCAGCTACTAGGCCTTGGTCCTGAAGAAACTCACAGGCCTTAGTCATGTAAGCATATATTTCTTCCTATGACAGAAAATAGGGACGTTAGCATAGTCAAGTTAAGGAAGAAACAAATTTACCCATTCATGTTAAGGAAGAAACCTTTAATGATCCCAAATCATGATACAGCCCCATCATAGTGAGTATACAGTTAATGTTCCTTAAAACCAGCATTAAACACATCCCAAGGACAAGCAACCCTTGCAACCTGCAGTTCTCTGTGCTGTGGTGCAACACAAGTAAAACCTCCCTGCAACCAAATACCCTAAAACAGTCTTTTCCCACCTGCAAGACTGCAGTATTTGGACTTACAAAGATCAATCAATACTAAGAGACACTTGGGGCAGGGGGGAAAGAGGTGTCTTTATAGTTGGTCTATATCAAAAGACAGAGAGGCTCACATGTTTTTCTGATCATAAATGTCCCAGGGACAATTTTCAAGGCAGTCTCTCTTAACCTGTAAGTCCTAACATTTCAAACCACTAGACATGCTGACTGAGGCCGATGGAACTTGAAGTTCAAAAAATCTGCAAAGCAATAAGTTGGGGGAGGGGGTGATCTAACACGCCCCCAATTTCAACAGGGCTATTTTCATTTGTGGAAAGTATTTTACATACTCATGGTAAATTTTGCTTAAAAATGCACATCATGAAGTAATAAACTGCAGGTCAGCTGGCTGATCTCCAAGATCATAAATACTGTATGCTTTTCATAAAAAGGACCATTCTTACCTCAGTGGCATTGTCCTTCAGGAACTTCCCAGCCACAGTTACAACTTCTTTACACAAGTCACAAGGAATGCTTTTCTGAAGAAAAAGAAAATACAGCCTCAATCAATAAAAAAGGCCCATGTATATTTACTGCCTAATACTACACCAGTTTTGTTCCTCCCCTAAAAAGAATGAACTGCAGAAAGCTATGTGCTGTCTTATACAGTAGAGAACTGAGATAAAATTATATTCCAAATTCCCAATATGCAAAAAGAAACAGAGCCAGTGTCACCAGTAAAGTTCATTCTGGTATACAAGACAGACCTTCCTAAACTTACTCCACCTGTCACTTTTTTTCATGTAGAGTGAAAACCTTCCCCTTATTGCATGGATAGCAGACAACAATGTAACAATAAGTAATTCTATAACTTTATAAATCTTCTAGGAAAGATAAATGATTTTAAAAGATAGTTTGATTCAATGCAAGGGTAAGGTTCAAATGCAAACATCTTTTAAAACTGATATAACCTCTACATGCACACCTGATTTTCTACAAAAAAGAGTGAACCACAAGAAAGTATCTGATGAACTCAGTATCACAACAGGACACACTAACCTAGTACAAATGTAACAATTTAAAGTTTAACCATTCCCCAAAAACCATTATTATTAGACCAAGAACAAAACCACATGCTTTGCTCTTGCACAACTAGTTTTAGTGCTTCTGTTATGATTTATTGTACTATAAATCATAGTAATATACCAGATTCCTGGGAAAAAACAAAGCAACTTTATACAGGGTTCTGAACATAAAACCATAATCAAAAATATAATAAAATTTTAAGAACACCAAAAACTATAACAATGATTTTAAAGCCCAGATAAAAAGTCACAAGTCTACAAGAAGTGCATTCTAAGGAAACAAGAGCAAAGACAGCTCTTCCTGGCATGTCTGAAAGTAAGAGCACCTTTAAAAGGTCTCTGCTGTTCAATTCAACCAAACAGCTCCATATCACAATAAATAGTCCTTCAGATGGCTGGACTCTGAGCTGTTTAGTGCTTCAAGCTAACTATAGGGTAAGCGTAAGCAAGGGTACACTCTAGTTTTAGATTGTTAGGTCTACTTTTTTCTTGCTGTTGTTTGCCAGGGTCTCAAGATCCATCACCCACAATGAGTTACAAACTGGCAGCAGGGGAATTGAAACACATCACAACACACTTCCTCTTCATTTCTCTTTCACACTCCTTTTCCATTTTTGTGGGAGGAGGGAGAAAGCTTTGTTACGAGAAAGAGACAGCACTGCTTCTCTCCAAGCATATTAGCCACCCTCCACTGGTCTCCTCCTTCCCTCTCCCCCTCTCCTTGCATCAAGGAGACTTCGGTGGCAAGTGAGATAGGGTTAATTTCGGAGCCTGAATTGGCTGCTGTTGGCTACAATAGATGTTCTGCCTGCCCCACACTAGCTGCAGCTGTCCCAGTATACTCTTTGCCATCATAGCCTGGATGATCTGAGGACAGAGTAGATCCAAGAACCATAGCTCCATTACATCCGAATAAGGAGGCTGTTGTTTAATCTACCTTACAAAGTGGAATCTACCTAGGGTTTCATATCCTGGTTTGTAAACAGAGATTGTCAAACTTCCCAGTTCAGACAAAACAGGAAAAGTTCTAACAGATCCAAAATCCGTTCTAGTATGGACAGAATGAATGAGAGAGCATTTAAAGTATTCTTCTTGAAATATAATTGTGCACAAGGACAACCAGTTCTTGCTTTTAATCCTTTTTGTGAGTGTTTAGCTTAAACTATTATGTTTGATGTCTCTGCATGTGTATAGTGTGCCAGAGCTGCATAAAGCAAATATAATGCTACAGTATAAAAGACCTCTAACTACAGAAGCAACATTTTGAATCTGCTTCTAGATAGCGTGAAGTATTTATACTTCATAAATGAAACAACGAAACTACAGTGTCTATTTAGTATGCTTGCTTTGTTCAGGAACTATACATTACAAAGAAATAAATTTACTACAAAAACAGATACTACTTGCATCTGTTCAACTTACCACTGTAGGTTTGTTCCAGACAGTTTGCCGGCAATGTTTAACTGCTTTGCAGTGAGATGCAGTTTGCAAGTTCTGGCACCATACCTCAGGACCTTTTGTGCAATCTTTCTGCAGTAGGACGGGACTTGCCAAAGCTCCTAGGAAGGAAAGAAAATTCAAATGTTTGAAACAGTCACGCTTTCATTCTGCCTAGCATCTTCAGAGCAGGGGTCAACACAGCAGTACCCACCAAGACGCTTCCATATTTTTTTCTGATTTTCCTACCTGTTTATTGCATGCTGCACCCATAGCCACAAGGCTCTCTGGGCGACTTACATTACATCCAACCAATAAAAAATACCATATGAACAATAAATAAAAATAAATTATGATAAAAAGAAAAATAAACATTCACTTAATAAAACCATATGATCAAATTGAAACAATAATTTAAATAAAATTGTCTGGTGGCTAAAATTCTAACATGGCCATATGAGCAATAAAAACCAGTATAACAAACCATTCTAATACCAACCCACTTACTTACCAAACTATTTGCAAAAAAGAAATATTTTTAATTGGGATCTGAATGAAAAAAGAGAAGTTGTGTGGTAGATCTCAATTGGAAGCATGTTTCACAACAGGGGCACTATTGCAGAAAAGGCCCTTCTCATAGCCATCTCCACCACCACCACCACCAGCATCACCACTTGCAGTAAGAGTATTGCAGGGAGAATTTCGTAGAAAGGCCTCAGATTAAGACCTCAATGACTAGGCTGGTATGTATGGAGACAGGCATTCCTTCAAATACAAAGCCCCTCGAAATTCCTATCTTGAATAGGAAGTGAAAAATTTAGGAGCCTGAATTGCACACTTAGATATACAAGTAGGTCTCCATTACTGCAGTTATTCAATTCCATGAAGTGGTCTCATTATTCACATTTGCACTAGTCAAAGTTATTAGTCTATGTAATAAGGTAATTACTTCCAACTGAACATAAATGATTTTAAAAATTTAACTTGTTATATGTTTAGTAATGAAATGTTACAGTAAAGCATACAAATATACTTTTAATTTAAATTTACTGTTAACAATATCACAGAATACTTAATAGAGAACATCACTGAACTAGTGGTCTGTGCAGTACAATATAACAGTGATGTAGTTTTTGCATGGCCCAGCAAACTGTCAACTACAAATTGATTTAATTAAGATACAAATACTTTACCCTAACCCTTAAGGGCACACTTCTTGTCTGTGCAACAGACCATCAAGGATAAATCCAGCCCCCTTTGTCTCTGCTGGAATCACTCAGTTTTGCTGACACCTCCTTATATATGATTCACAAGCTATGCACACATGAAATGGCAGTAGATAAGGCTTTTTCCTATATTTATTTTCTTAGTCCTAACCCTACACTATAATTATTTGCATGTCTGAGTTTTCCCAAATGTGACCTGCTCCATTTCTGCTCAATAATGTCGATGTTTATATTTTAACTACATAACAAAATCGGTTTCTATTTGCATTTTTATTTCTATTTTCCCAAACATAAGATACACTTAGGTATCTCAGGATGCAGTAGCTTGCAATCGCTGCTAATTTCCAAGGTTGCTGTACTAGTGGCTTGGTTCTGTCTTCACTCCTCTGGCTTGTTCGGCTCAATTCTATCACCCCATAAGCACAGAATAACAACCCTGTTCAGCCTGTCTGTTGTACATGCACAGTCGAAGAATTGAATGCCCAAAGCTTCCTACAAGCACGAACCTGTATTTGGTCATTTTTATCAGATGGAAACTGAGATTAACAACTGCATAATCTGCATTACTGAAAGAGAAGGGCTTTTGCTAAGGCTAAAGACACCCTCTACAGGTTAAACGTGGCAATTTTATTCAAGCGTGTGAAACAGCAATGTAACCTACATACTGTAGTGTGTTCTTGTTGCATGTTATGGCAAAGAATCCCATCATGTCCCATCCATATCAGTGGATAGATAATGTGTAAGTGCATCCTGTCTTCTAGAAAGTTGTCCTGCCCACCTCATCCTCCCAGCCCTCCTCACTCCCATAAACATCGTGTCCTAGGGTCCCCATCCAATGTCCTGCCCAGCACACCACACTACTAAAGAACATACATATTTATTGAAAACTACACCCCAAAATGCAGATCATGCCACAGATGAGAGCAGGAAAATATACAGAGATAAAGCATGGGCCAACCCCGGAAGATAACTTCGTATGAATACCCCATGAAGTTACAATAAACTGTAACTACAAACACATGTTAAAAGGGAACAGTGCTTATAAAAGAAAAGCTTTAATAGACATATTATTGTTGCAGCTTTCCTATGGGTTAAGCTCATAATCATAAGCAACCTGGTGTGGCATGGCTTTTCGTTTAATGCACAATCACTGAGTTCTCATTTTTGCATTACCTTTGTATGCAGGTTCTAGTCTTAATCTCAAGTCTCACAGAATTGAGACAGTGGAGGATAGAAATAAAGAACTAGATCTTTGCCATAATAGTGGAAAGGTTTCTCCTTAAGGGCATTCTGAACTTTAGGATAGTTGGTTTACATGTTACACTGTAAGCCTAACAGTAGAATACAGGGCCAGGAGCTCCTATATCCGACACATAACAGCTAATCTAAACTGAACAATGGGGCTGGACATAAGCCTAACCAATGATCAACAAATGCTTCATATATTTGTTTAAAATATACAGCATGCATATTTTTCTACAAAGCTGGTTGCAGGTTTCAAGTAATTCCTTTTGCCCCATATAGCCAAGGGTAATTGTGGTGATGCTGAAAGCTGAATGCTTACTGGAAAGCTGGCAAATTGGCATGAGAGGGCCTCAATTCCCACAAAGCCTGGAGCCTTAACTATCAGGAGGAGGCATAGCGCAATAACATTCAGTCTATTCCCTGTATGATCTTTATTATTGCTTTAAGTGTTTGACTGTTGTTCAATAATATGGGGCCGAAAATTTCCATTCCTTAAATATATTAGTACCCATGATTGGATGCCAACTGTAAAGGAAGCTTGCCAGTTTGAGTGGCTGGCAATATATCATGCTAAATTCTTTAGTTTATTGAAATGTATTACTGTGTCAGTTTTCAGTGCCCTTGTTGCTTTGCACAATTGTACAGCTCACTGTGGCTTATTTTAAACATTTGTGTGCCGCCTATTGTTCCACAGCACCCCCCAGCAGCTCACAATCATAAGATAAAAACCATAATAAAAAAACTAATTACAACAATTAAAAATAGAATAGTAATAAAATACAGATAGAAATACAAAACGAAGGTTGAGTGGCATCAATTATTAAAATATTTTTTTAAAATACTGGTAGGTTGTGACAAAAGGAAGCAGCCAATTTGAATATTCAAGCCCCAGCTGTGGCATCTGAATCTGGATACTGTGGATTATGCAAAGGCTGAATAATGTTCATATAACCCAAGCACAGACCATGTGAGGATTGTTCCATAGCCCACTATGTAACAAACTATGCCTTGAATCTTCAAAATCCATCCAGCACACACTAACATTGGACAAATAAGCCATGCTGGCCTGTTCTGAATGTGTGAATGGGGTTAGTGTAAGGGAAATACATGCTATTATCTTTAAATTTTTATTACAGGTATTCCAGTAAGATTTCCTATGTAAGCTTTAAATCTCATTCGGTGTGGTTTAATTTTTTTCCTTCAAATAGTTCAGATAAAATATTGAGGTTTTTTAAAACATGGAAGTACCTTTTGAAGAGGTCTCTATTTAAGTAAATGATGAAAAATAAACATGCTTAGTTACTTCACTATCTAGAGCACCAGAAGATGTCCAATGCAACATCTGAATTGCTATTCAAAAAAAGCAATTCATTGAATCACTAACTAACCCATGGTCTGCTGCCTGCTGTCCCCAGACAAGATAAACTGTCTCCACTTTGGACAACTCAGCAATTGCCCAAACCCAAGCCTTATTACAATGCTTACACAGTTCAATCATCTCCCTCATCAAAGTATGGCCAAAATAAGTTAATTGCTCCTTTTACTGAACTCCAGTACTTTTCATTATGCTTAAGTACAGTCAAATAAGCCCTTGAGTCCTTTGAAGTGGCATTTTAAGACAACAGTTAATCATCAGGTCAACCAAGTAGTGGCAATGATACCGAGGCTGTAAGAACAAGAAGAGAACGGTGTTAGTTGTGGGGACTCCGTGTTGCATGGGATGGAAACACATGTTTGTCAGGAAGATCTGGACTCATCAGGTGTGCTGTCTCCCTGGAGGACAGATTAGTGATATAACCGAAAGACTGCCAAGGCTCATACAGCCCACTGACGTACATCCCTTCATTCTTACACATGTGGGAACAAATGACACTGACAAGCAGAGCTCTGAAGAAGACACATTAGACTTTGAAGCTTCAGGAAGGAAAGTCAAGAACTTTGGGGTTCGGTTACTTTTCTTGACAATCTTTCCAGTTCTTGGAAGAGAAAGAAACAGGGAAATAAAAATATTCCAAGTGAACGTCTGGCTGTGAAGGTGGCCCAACATAAGAGAATTGGATTCTGGGACACTTCTTGGAAGTGGGAAAAAACTGTCCTCAGAAACTTTGGCCACAGCATGAAGTAATTTATCAGGAGGACTTTAAATTAGATCCTATAAGGAAGGAAGAACATAACAGAGATTTATGCACCACAACAGAGAAAGCAGCTCTAACAGTGCCCAGTAATAGTCTTCCAAAAAATGTAAGTAGAAAGCTAGAGTATAAAACACATGGTATTTGATGATTATACACTAATGCCTGGAATATGGTGAAGAAACAGCATGAACTTAAACTCTTGGTGGAATGACTCCCATGACTAGAATTCAACAACTGAAGGCTATAACTTGTTCAAGAAGAACAAAAGAAAGGAAAAGGGAGGCAGAGTCACACTATATGTTAAAGATACATGTCTCAGCACAGAAATACAGGAAGATGAGTTTAGCAGTCCCATTGAGAACATATGGATTAATATAAATGGACCAAGGAATAAGATGAACATGGTGGACAGAGTCGATTACCAATCATCCAGCCAAGGAGAAAACAAGGATGAAGTCTTTGAAAAATTGCCAGGCCTTCAAGACAGCATGATATCATTGTTACAGGGGACTTCAA